TTTTTTATTTCAGAGAGAAAGGGAGAGGGAGAGACAGACAGACACATCAATGACAAGAAAATCATTGATCGGCTGCCTCCTGCATGCCCCCTCCTGGAGATCAAGCCTGCAACCTGGGCATGTGCCCTGAGGGAATTGAAACTGTGACTTCCTGTTCATAGATTGACGCTCAACCACTGAGCCACGCCGGCCGGGCAGGCTGGTGGTTCTTACTAGACATTAACATTAGTGACAACCCGCAACCCACTGGCTAACAAGAGTGGGTGCCATGCAGGAACAGTTCCCCGAAAGCCCTTGACAGCCAGGCCTTTCAGACACCTTGTAGCACGCGGAGGTAGGAGAGGGCAGGGATGTGTGTAAATGAGCGGCCCAGCTCTTCCGTCTCACCTGCCGCACTTTCTGTGATAGGAGCGTTTTGTGGCCTCGTTTCATGCATCACCACAGGCCTGGTTGGGCATCTGTCGAGGTAATGGGTAGAAAAGCATTTTGCAAAGTTGCTAATGTAACATGCAATTCTTTTCTTTCCATCTAAAATCTCCTTTCTGTGGGAAAAACACTTGCTTTTCACTCAACCATAGTTTCTCTTACTGAAATATCTTGTTCATGCTACTTTAGGCAAGGGGAGGTTTTCATACATCGGGGGTGCATTCTGGAGTAGCCTCATTTTCTAACTTAATTCTAAGACCTCATCTTTACAACTTGGATTATTTTTGTATCGTATATGTTTTTTGCCCACTGGGGTGTAAACTTCCTCAGGGAAGAAGTATAACGCCTGCCCATAAGGAGGATTCTATGGATCTTTGTAAAGTAACCAGATCTAACAATTCTATGCGCTAACGCTGCTAAAACTCTCAACCCTGCCCCCCTCCTTGTTTGTGTGAAAAATAATTTTTGTATCTGTGTACCTTTACTGGGGAAACTTCTGCAGTTCTCTGCAAGAGAATTAGCCAACATTGCAGGCCAGGGCAGACATTTCAAAGAGAAATGTTACCAATATTATTGCTTTCAGGGTAGACATAATATCCTGCTAGAGCGAAACATTATGAAACCATTTCTGTTTGAAGCTGATTCACTGAACCAATAATTTGAAATTCAGCTGATGTTAGAGATTTTTTTATTTAAAAATGACTGTTGGTTCACTAGACTGGCAAATTATATAAGTCATAAGAAATGAAAGAGCTTTGTTTGCTATCTAGCGCTCCGTTAGGGACAAATGCAAACTCTGAATCTCCTAAGCAGCATTTTGGGGAAATTTTTTTATGAGTCCAGCATCTATTTTGGGTTTCTACATAGTTGCCCAGAAGCAGCTAATTTAAAGAAACCAATATTAGTTGTTTTTAAAAAGGAGGGGGTGTCCCTGGCCAGGTGCCTCGGTTAGTTGGAGTATAGTCCCATGCACCAAAAGGTTGTGGATTTGATTCCCTGTCAGAGCGTAAACCTACGTTGCCGGGTCAATCCCCAGTCAGAGTGTCTCTCTCTCTCTCTCTTGCCCTCCCCCGCTTCCCTTACCTCTTCCTTTCCCTCTCCCTCCCTTCCTCTCTTCCTCAAACCAATAAACATACCCTCCTGCGAGGATTTTTAAAAAAGGAGGTGAGATAAGATGGAATTGGGGTGGGGGGCAAGTTCAGGCTTGTGGTGGGCAGAATTCCAAGATGGCCTTTAAGATCCCCACACCTTCTCCCCGATATCCAGCCAGTAGTCATTTAGTGCTGCTGTGAAGGGTTATTGGAGATGTACTGAAGAGAAAAAGCCCCCCATATACACACCAAACCAAACAAAACAAACAACAGCAAAATAACCCACGCAGTAAAGTAGTCCCAGGAAATACGTTTGAGAAGACTGTATATTTCAGTGTCCTCTTCTGGAGCCACTTGGACACAGTGTGCGGAGGTGGCTAAATAAAGGAAGAAACGTGTGCTGTATTGCAGTTAATATCTTCACAGTCCTTTTAGGATTAGGGAACATTTTAAAAAGATCCCTATTTTGTTTGTTTCGGGTTAAAAAAATTTTCAGATACATCTCTCTACTTCCCGTCCTCCAGGCTCGTCATAAACCACAGACATTTCATTCTTTTCGAACTTAGGCTATACCAGGCTCATCCTGCTGATTTAAACACATGGTGGCCAACGCAACAGAGCCCTAAAGTAAGATAGCGTTGGCGTCCTGCTTCTCCAGGCTGTGGTGACGATGGAAGGCTTGCTGCCCGAGTCACTCCTGGAGAGCCGGCCGCGCCAGCTTTCTCTGGAGGCGAGCCTGGTCCGCCCTGTCTGCAGAGGCCTGACCCCCAGTGCACATACAGGGTGGGGCAAAAGTAGGCTTACAGTTGTGAGTATACAAAACAGAGTTTATTCTTGTATTGTTATTTCTTATTGTAGTATTTTCCTTACAAACAACTGTAAACCTACTTTAGCCCCACCCTGTATGTATACCCAGAACTGAAACAAAAATATTGACGCAACACCCTTGGGTATGCTCTGTTTTATTATTTTTTATTAAGAAGATGCCAGTCGCCGAAACCGGTTTGGCTCAGTGGATAGAGCGTCGGCCTGCGGACTGGAAGGGCCCAGGTTCGATTCCGGTCAAGGGCATGTACGTGGGTTGCGGGCACAACCCCAGTGGGGGATGTGCAGGAGGCGGCTGATCGATCTTTCTCTCTCATCGATGTTTCTGACTCTCTATCTCTCTCCCTTCCTCTCTGTAAAAAAAAAAAAAAATCAATAAAAAAAAAAAAAAAAAGAAGAAGATGCCAGTCAATACCCAGTAGGCTCATCTCTGCGCGCGTCTCACCACCTGGACAAATAGTGCCTTATAGAACGGCCCGTGTTTACAGCCGCTCTCGGTCAGTCCTTGCGTTAGCGTGCTTCTGGAATTACATTTGGGGTTGGTCCATGAATCACAGAAAATGTCATAGAAAATTTTTTTTAATGAAAAGTACCTTTATTCAGCATGGGTTCTCTTTTTTATTTACCAGATGTGGCCCTAAATGATTTGCCCCTTAGTCAAATCAAAGAGCAAAGTTGTTATGGCTGCTTGTTTTCAGAAGAATGTAAGGACTGGAGGGTTAGGATTTAGTTAAAAGAGATTTCGGAGGTGGTTCGGGTCAGCTTGCACATCCTGCGGAGATCCGAAGAAGTAGGTGTTAATTTAAAGAATGAATTAAGGTTGTTTAAGAACGAATTAAGGTAGTAATATGTTAATAATAGAATGTTTTATTTAAAAATATTTTAAAATTGATTTTTAGAGAGAGAGGAAGGAAGAGGGAGAGAGAGAGAAACATCAGTGAGAGAGAAACATCTATTGGCTGCCTCTTGCACACCTCCTCCTGGGGATCGAGTCTGCAATCCAGGCCGGGGCCCTGACCAGGAATCAAAGAGGTGACCTCTCGGTGAATGGGACGACGTTCAACCACCTGAGCCACCCTGGCCGGGCTGTATTTTAAAATACTATTATGAGAAGTCTGGTGTCAGGAGTGGATGCTTGGATCTGATGTTGGGGTGACTGTGCTGGCGGGACCTGTAACTTCCTTGGCTTTGGTTGCTAGGCAACTCTGACATGCAGGAGCGTGGCTATGTCAGCCCAGGCCTAGTGAGAGTATATGTTATTAGAAAAAATGAAAAAGACCAATTTAGGAAAAGAGATTCTCAACAGCTAGGAAGCTGAGGATGAAAACCGGGACGGTGCCGGCCTGAAGCTGCGCTTGGTCTTGAGTCTCTGCGTGTCCCGTTCTGCCCTGCCATGGGGTAAGGAGCTTCAGACTCAGATCTGAGCCTGCATTTGTCCAGGAAAGCGAGAGAATGTAAATGAATTTAACGTTTGTAGTCAAAACCTCTTCCCTCCCCTATAATGAGCCTACAGAAATAATCGCGTTCCCTTTGCTTGACTAGGATGGGGCTTTCTCCAGGTTCAGTCTTTGGCACTCGTTCTGTATCGCACTTGCCCTTAACACATATTTGTAAACACTGTGATCCTTTTTGGGCTAGTCTCACAGACATTTTTTTAAAATCAATATATTATCATAGACAAACAAGCTCGAGGGAGACCAGGTGATAAATTCCCTTTTCATCCACCTGGCATAGTGTGTGAAATAGATAAACAGCGCGTATCTATGAGGGGAACATGCTTAAGTGCTGCAGTTTATCATACAGAGTAAATTCCAATAAAATGAAGGAATCTGATTTTTAAACTGAATCAGGATCAGCAAGTTATACCTTGTGGGCCAAACATGGCACCCCGTCGGATTTTGTAAATAAAATGTCATTGGAACACAGCCACGCCTACCCGTTTCCGTATTATTTTTGCCTGCTTTTCCATGACAGTGACCGTGTGGCCTGCAAAGCCTAAAGTATGTACTGTCTGATCCTTTGCAGAAGAAAGTTTATTGATCCTTGGACCAAAGGACTATTTAGAGACGAAGTCACTTTTGAATCAAGGCTATTTTCTTTTAAATTGCATGGAAAAATTCTTCTAGTAGATGACATTTTTAAACAAGGTTTAATGGTGGGAAGTGCCTAGATTCTGTTGGGTGATTGGTGCCTACCTTTTTTAAAGTTAAAGATGATTTTTTAAAAATCACTGTACATTAAATCATTAATGCGGAGAAGATACCTGATGAGGCACATATGAAAGATTACAGTGTGACAGGCTCATCATTTAACTGTGCAGTGATGATGGGTTATGCGATTTGGCTGGCATTGCCCAGTTTGACAGTCTTCATAATAATTGTGAATTTTAACAAAATCTTACATTTACAAATATTACTCTTGAGATTTTGCTTGTTGCGGATCAGTAAGGCTAAACTAATAGTCATTTGCAAAGAGGCTTCATATTTCTCGTGTTTAAATGGCTGTAGTTCAGTGTATTAAAAATGAGTGATGTTTAATCAGATGATTTCTCAGTCGCAGGATTTAAGCGGTAACACGTGGGTCCGCGGTGCTGCATGGCAGGGCGGCAGTTGACGCACGAGCCGTCTAATGTGTGTTTATCTTTTTATTTCTTAACAGACTTGTGGAGGAAAGCAAACTGATCCCACTCATTTTCGAAGTCATCCTGGTAAGGAAACATGCATCTGAAATTTAAAGCTGTTCAAAGTTTTGACCATGTTGTGTATTTGAGTGCTAACACTTACTGCCCAGAAGACTGTTGTGTGTCCCTCATGATCTGACTTCACCTCATCGGGCCTCAGTTTCCTTGTCTGGGCTCTGTCCCGCTCTGAGATTGTATAGGGACCCTGCCCTCTTTTCAAAGTCCTTTGATTTTATTTCTATTGACTGAGAACCATATGTTGTCTAATGTGGAAAGTACTTTTTCTGAGGTTGGTTTGTGGGGGAAGGGAAGAATAACGATCACTATTCTTCAGTATGAATTTCTGATGTTCAATGTGAAGCCCTCTGTAGTCAGGGGTCAGAGCAACAGTTTTAGGCCTGTGGGCAGAATCTTCTTCCGAATGTAGAATAGCTTAGCTTCCATACACCGTTTCTTCACAGAATGCAACTTAATTGGAAGCCATCTGTTCAGGAAAGCCTTCCACCTAAGGTTTCTATGTGGAGGGAATAAAATGGGATGCAGATTGACTTTCTGATAAATCCCTACTTATAATAAGTACGGATTGGAAAATCAGGGTGAAAATAGAGTTGGTGCTTATAGCAAGGGAGTGCCCTTGACCAAAGAAATCCCTCCCTGTACCGGGGGGGAGGGGCGGGGGCTGGGGGGAGGCACGTGACAGGTTACCCCCTTTGCCAAACACTTTCCCTCCAGAGCTGCCGACAGGACCAGGGACCAAGGCAGGGACAGACCAGCCTCACCTACCTTGGTCGTGGGCGGAGCAATAACCGGGATGGTCTGCTAACCCTCCACATGGAAAACCAGCTTTCTTCACTCCTCCTGGGACATTAATCTGCAGGTTGTTTGTGTGTTGTTGTGGCTCCGCGGGAAAACAGTAATTTTCATAGCTCCAGATCCTTTGGCTTTCGGGGACCTGGTTGGAGCTGGTTGGAGCTGCTGAGCTGTTTGGATTGGGTGGGGAGGGGTGGTTGTGGGTTAGAGCCTGGACTGAAATCGCTTCAGAGAGTAGAAGGGTGTAACTGATGTCCACCTGAACTAATGCAGAATCATATCGAATGCCATCTGTAATTGAGAAAATTAAAAAAAAAACAACACCCCAAAACAACAAAATAAAAGCAAATAGTAAAAGAGGATTTCAGAAGCGATATTAGGAGAAGATACGGAGGAAAAGGGAGTGAAGACATATGCAGATCAAGAGCTTTCTAGTGGGGATTTTAAAGCTTTTCGCTTGCTAGTTTGTTTGGAGGTGGATTCGTTTCTGAGAGCAATGGGTGGTAAGCTGCTGCGTTTGGCCACACACTTGGGCACAGTGGCAAGATCCTGTGCTGTCCAAACTCAGCCACATCTGTCTTGCTTTTTTGAAGAGATGTTGTTAGCCCTGGCCAGGTGGTTAGAGTGTTGACCAAGGTTGTGGGCTCAATCTCTGGCCAAGGCACACACAAGAAACAATCAATGAATGCATAAATGAATGGAACAACAAATCGAATTTCTCTTCTCTCCCTCTCCCTGCCTCTCTCTCAAATCAATAAAAACAAAACAAAACAAAAACAAGAAAGAGAGGCGTGTTGCAGACAGAGAGACTAGAGCTACCATGGGCCTTAAGGGTGGGTGGGACTCACCCTTGCTGTGGCAGGAGGGCCTCTACTCTGTTACGGTCAGTATAGCTCCTTGGATCACTGATGATAAATTCTTACCTGTTGGCAGTCACCTCAAGGTCTGAAGTCTGCACATAGGAAATTTTTTCTTGCAGGTTAACGAAACCCCTCCATACTCAATTAATCTCTGCATAATGAGCACCTAGGAAGGCTTTGCATTTTACAGGCCACAGTACATGTTTATTTGAGTGATGCATGATTTTTTTAAAAATTATTTTATTGCTTAAAGTATTACAAAGAGTATTATATATGTCTCTTTTTTTTCTCTCCATGACCCTTC